AGGTTTAGTGAGAAGGAGGAACTGAAGGAAGTCAGTATGAGTAGGGAAATGGTGTTGGGGATACTGATGGGTTTAAAGGCTCAAAGGTACTTGGGGACCAAATATCTACATCCCAGACTATTAATGAAGTGGCCCTAGAAGTAGTGGATGCATTGGTGGTCATCTTTCAAGATCCTATTGACAAGATTCTGGAACAGTTCCTATGAATGACAGGGTAGCCAATGTAACTCCACCATTCAAAAGGGGAGGTAGAAAGAAAACACAGAATTATAGACCAGCTGGCCTAATGTCATTAGCAGGGAAAATGTTAGCGTCCATTATCAAAGAGTTAATAGCAGAAAACAGTGACAGGATTGGGCACAGTCTGCATGGATTTATGAATGGGAAATCATGCTTGACAAATCTACTGAAATTTTTTGAGGATAAAACGTGCCGAGTTGGTATAAGGGAGAGCTCGTGAATGTAGATTACTTGGACTTTCAGAAAGCTTTTAATAAGGTCCCACATAAGAGATTAGAGTAAAGTTAAAGTGCACAGGATAGGAGGTCATGTACTGAAATGGATTGTGAACTGATTGGCCGACAGAAAATAAAGAGTAGGAATAAACGGTCTTTTTGACTTTGTGTCTTTTTCCAAGTGGTAGAGAGCAACGAGTGGAGTATTGAAGAGATCAGTGCTTGGACCCCAGCTTTTCACAATGTATATTCATGATATAGATGAAGGAACTAAATGTAAAATCTCCAAGTTTGCAGGCAACACAAAGTTGGGCGAGGAAGGTGAACTGTGAGGAGGATGCAGAGATGTTTCAGTGTGATTTAAACAAGTTGTTTGACTGGGAGATTTACTGTAATTTTTTCTATGCAGACTCGATTGGTCTAAGGGCCTTTTTTGTATTGCATGACTCTATAATTCGATATTCACTGGAGTTCAGAAGAATGAGGGGGAATCTCGTAGAAACCTATAAAAAATTTAACAGTACGAGGACGGGTGAATGCAGGAAGGACATTACCAATGGAGTCAAGAATCAGGGGAACAGTCTCAGCATATAGGGTTGGTTCTTTTAGAATTGAGGAGAAATTTCTTCATGCAGAGAGTGGTGAGCCTGTGGAATGTTCTGCCACAGAAGGCAGTTGAGGCCAAAACAGGGAATGTTTTCAAGAAGGAGTTACATCTGGTTGTTAGGACAAAGGGAAGCAAAGGGTATTGGGGGAAAGTGGGAAAAGTGCACTGAATTGGCAATCAGCCATGATCAAATTGAATTGTGGAGCAGACTGAACCGCTGCTGCTGCTGGTCCTATTTTCTATGTTTCTAAGCAATGTCTTGATTTTAAAGTTCTTATCCTTCTTTTCAAATCCCTCCTTACCCTTCCCTAACTCTGTAACCTCCTCCAATCCAACAATCCTCCAGGATATCTGTACCCCAATAATTCTGGTCTCTTGTGCATTCCCAGTCATAATTGTTCCACCATTGGCAGCTTTGCTTTCACTTATCTTAGTCCCAAGTTCTGGAACTGCCTCCTTCCAACTTGCCAATGCTCCACCTCACTTTCCTCCTTTAAGCTACTTTATTAAAACTTACCTCTTTGACTACACCTTTTGGTCATCCACCCTAATATCTCCTTGTGAAGCTTGACGTCATGCATTTTTAACATTCCCATAAAGCATCTTAGGATATTTCACCGCATGAAAGGTTTTTTTTAAGAAAAACTGATTGTTTTTATTGTGTTTACAAATCGTGAACACAGGCTGAAATATACATCAATGGACCTGATTTTAATTCTACCTAAGAAGGTGATATTTTAATTAATTCAAAATCTATCCACTTATAGAGTTAAAATGAATCCCAAGTGAATAGTTTTGAGTCACTTAAATCTCACAGACCATGTCCAGACTTTAGGGGTTATGTAGACTGTTCTAAATGTCCTCAGGTTTACCAACTTCGCCTGGTGCCAATTTAACTGTCCAGAGAAAGTATTCAGTGTCAGGCTAAGGGATTACACCCCAGGCCTGCCCTATCTGGTTTAGTGTAGGTGCATTGATGGAGAACGTCCTGCTCCCTCTGCCAGCACAGTAGTGGCCTAGCTGCTTTTTCTGTGTTTTTTTTTTATTTATTTTTCAAGTTAGCAAGCACATTCATACTGAAGCACCCTCTCCATTACTTACTTTTTAGTGCAGTTTGCTACTTCCACCAAGCTGGAATCCCTCTCCAATTCTGAGACCCCATCTGCCACCTTTAATTAAACAGGAGTTCAGGGAGTGCATACCAATTCAGGGTCAAAATGCTAATTAGTGACCATTTACCGCTTGGGCAGGTTCAACACCCACAAACTGTGTTGGCTCACGGCTCCTGTTCCCAAAGTGAAAACTCAGCCCCAGGGTCTTAAGAGTTCTGGCATCAAACAATGATTGCACATTAAAAATACTAAAATGCCAGGAAAGAGGTTCAATTTCTCTCTCTCTCTTTCTCTTCCTTTCTCTGTGCCTCTCTTTCTAATTTCTGACGTGCCTTCCTTTCATGCAGAGGTCTGTCATACAAATCTTGGAGAAATTTCTAACTGGCAGTTACAAAGCATGATCAATCTGGGCTCATTAAGTACATATGTAATGTATTCAGAAATACCCAAGTTACACTGTGAATCTGTATCACTCCCTTTAACAGCCAGAAGATGGCGAAATACCTGTGTAATGCCACTAAATGCAAAACTCCCTTATGGCAGTAAGTGTTTAATGTTTTGCAAGTGTAACCATTCATGTTCACCTATGAAAATGTTAAACATCATAATGTTTTAAAATCCCCTGGTATGAATTATACCACCAGAGTATAATAATTGAATGTAAATCAAATAAGGTATCAGCTGCAGTTGGTAGCACTCTCTTGGCTCAATCACATGCTTGTGGGGTCAACTGAGCACCTAAAAACCAAGGCTGACAACCCAGGGCAGGACTGAGAGACCTTACTCTGAGACATCATCTGTCTGTTTAAGTGGATGCAGTGGATAACTCACCACCTGACTTCCCAGAGCCTGTCCATCATCCACAAGGCACAAGTCAGGAGTGTGATGGAATACTCCCCACTTGCCTGGATGGGAGCAGTTCCAACAATACGCAAGAAACTTGAAACCATCCGGGACAAAGCAGGGGATTTAAGGAAGCGTTTTTTTTTCAATCAGATGGTCAGTCTCTGGAACTCGCCACTTGAAAGGGTGGTAGGAGGCAGGAATCATTTCCACATTGAAGAAGTTTTCAGATGATCACTAGACCATGCGCCATAGAGACAAGACTATGAGCCAAGTGCTGCAAAATGGGACAAGAGTAGGTCAGTGCTTGATGACCAGCATGGATATTCAAGCCAAAGGGCTTCTTTGTGTGCTGTGAAACTCTATGGGCTGAATCTCACTTTTTTTTTGGCTAAGTACAAGTTGCATTGAGTTTCTAGGATGGTTTCTTAATGCAAGATCCAATGAGTTTTTGATCCGTATCCTACCAAATTCACCTGATTAATTATAAGTCACAGCCCTATGGCGTCTCCCATGTCTGATTTCTGCTTTGTTTTACCATGGGGCATTCCTGAACAGCGGATAGCCTGGAATTCACTGGGATTTCTTTCATCCGCGCCATCTTTAAAAAACCTGCTGGGACAGGCACTGTCCATCTGGTGCTGCCTCACACGGGGTTGCCTGGCATTTGCCCCTGACCTGGCAGAAAGGGGAAATCAATGGTCTGCTTTGAGGGCAGGGTCCTGGGCTCCTGCTGAACAGGACCAGCAGTGGAGGCAGGACAAGGTTCTCACCCAGGCCAAGGCAGTCTCCGCCATTTGGAGGAACACAAAGCACTGTCAGAAAGTTAATGTCCTTCCCCATTCCACTGCCATCATCTTCTTTCCAATGCCTCACACTGACACTCTCTCTGCTCCTGCATCCATCTCTCACCAAGGTTCATATTCAACCACTCTCACTATTGCCTGCAACATATTCCATCACTCACTCACACCCACCCCAAACCCCAATGGCACCGACCCTGCATACCCTCTGTGCTGTCTACTGAATCACTCCGTCTCTGTGGGCATGCAGCGCTAATTACTTCCATCTTTTGGAATACCTGCCTCTCTCTCATTCCAGGAGGAAATCTGTTTGCAAAAGGGCAGACAGAGTCAAGAGAAATGGTGTGCTGCCCATCTTTTGGATCCTCGCTCCTCATGAAAGGATCCTGACTGCCCTGAGTGAAACCTGGACTGGTATCGGAGGCTGCCCTGACCACTGTGCTAAGAGCCACTAATCAAAGGCTTTCCCCCTTGACTCTTCTGAGGTCCATCGACAACTGATGGCAAGCTTCCTGGCTTTATGCCTGCGTGAAACAGTAGGGCAAGAGAACAGAAATATGAGCCTGCTATCTCTGGCTGAGGACGCTCAGTTTCCAACAAAGGAGGCTGTTCAGAGTTAACGTTGAATTGAATCCGCCCAGCGGTGGCTTTATCTTACTTAACCTTGCCGAGTTTTCCTGCTGTTGAGCTTTTTCTCGGTGAGCTGGATAAAAATGGGAGTCCGAACATTAATGAGGTGAGCTGGGAGGTTAATGAGGCATTTAACATGCAATAATGACCATCAACTGGCTACTTTGCCACCGCCTAGCGAGAATTTTGCCAAGTCACTTGGAGAGAGTATAAAAGATGGAGCAAGATGATTGTGATGTGAAGATGGGTCTCGTTGCACTTGCCATCTCACCACAGCCCATGTCGCTCAGACCCCAATAACTCTAACTTTTTGACTCTATGGGAAGTCGGTAACAGGACTCCGGAAACTGTCGTTTGGATTATTTAAATATGTTCACAGTGCACACTTTGTTAATATTTTTTCAGGTGACTGTTATTGTTTTGTTTGGATAATGGATAAGGATCATTCAGATTGGAGAGCTATTCTGTTTGAGTTGGCAGCAACTGCCTGAAAGCAGCTGGTGCCTGGAGCAGGCTGCTATTATTCAAGCCATTACCTGAACTGCTTTTGTTGTACTGAGCAACAGCGAGATATCACAGTCATCGGGATCCCTATAAATGCGGATGGGGTCTCTGAACAGCACCATCACTGAGATCCAGCACGTATTGGGAACATGACTAGCCACTCACAGGGAATTCATCAGCTTTTACAAGCCGAGAAACGGGCCAAAGAAAAGTTAGAGGAAGCCAAGAAGAGTGAGTAAACTTGACCTGCTAATAATTTCTGGAGTCCAGAGCATGAAAAGTTGTTGCAGTACTTCATGCAATCAAAGCACAAAGATTACTGGGTTGGAGAAAGATTTATTAAGATGTTAAAAACTCTCTATGGAATTATTAATTGGAGTGACATAAATGGTGCTAAAACAAGAGTTTGTATAAATGGTACATTTTATTTTACTTCATTTGAGTTCAGAACCCGGACTTGTATCTTTGTACCAGCTGAAATCTGAGATATTTTATAATGTCGCAGCTATTTCACTTGTGAAGTGAGAGGCACATGTAAGGGGTGGACATGCCATGTCACAGACCTTGCAGAGAACCGCACACACTGTGCAAGAAAGGGCATTGAAAACAAATGAATAATTTAGGGTGAGCTCAGTGTCCTTTGTTAGCACTGCCACCATTGGATAAACACTTTGCTGAAATTCTGCTTGCAGCAACCTTAGGTTAAACGGTGGTGCCCCTGCTGGAAAATCATTGGCTTTTCTGGATTTATATCTCACACGGCAAACAGTGTAAGGCTCAGTACTTTAACATCAAGGGCATCCAGGCCTTAACAGTACACCAGATCAACCTGGACGATGTTGTTCCTGCAGTCGTTCTGAATTATTCCAGTCAGAAAGACCTCTGTCCACTTCAATGTTCTATTGTTCCTTAAATTATTTGAGGGATTTCACCTCCACAGACTCAGTCAGGAAGTGTATTTAGCCCTCTCTATGTGAGGAGATGACATGGAATTTTACCCAGATTAACAGGGGAAACATTTTTTTCATTAAAGGTTAAAATTCCATACCACATTATTCTTTAACCTAAAAGTATTAGGGGTTTGTTTGTAATTTTTTTTTTTGAAACCCTATTCAAGACACTGACTCCTGCTGGGGTTAGGGCTCTATAGGTGCCAAGGGCCCAGCTGTAGCAAGGCACTGAGTGCTGACAGTCTGTAGGGGGTAGGGAGGAAATCACAGCAGAGGCCAAGCCCGTCCTCCCTCCACTCTGCAAAGCAGCATTTCCTTTCCCTGTTGGGGAGAGCCCAGCAGGGAATTTTTTGGCTCAGTTCCTCCAGTCAGTATTTCCCTGCGCATCACTGCCCTCCTGGAAGATGACATGCTGCTGTGTGGATGTCGAGTGAAGGGGCACCAGCCAGTTTGTAGCACCCCTACTGCCAGCTTGGCTGGCATCAGCCATCTCAACAGCAAGAACAAGTCAAAGCTCGGACCATCTGGTCCACATGGCTCCATTACTTGGAAATGAATCCATTTGGAGGGAGCGCAGACACTTTCAAGTGATTTTTTGTAAATCTGAAGAAGGATATTGCATTTGCATTACATGTGCTTTTATATTTAATGATTTAAATGTTGATTTTTTTTCTCTCATTCAGATAGTCTACTTCTGTCAAGCTTGGCCCCAAGTCAAGCCAAGCAAGAGCTAGAATAGTACGTTATCATCAATGTAACTGAAGCATGCCAAGTGGATAGGACTGAAACTGCATTCAAAATATATTAAATGCCTATTTCACATGTGGCTAGGTGTCAGATTATGATAGAACTAAAGAGGCATTTTAATGTAAGGAGTACAGTTTACAGTCACAAACATTAAAATTGTCTGTGAAAGAATTAAAGTAAAGCTCAATGTTAAGTACACTCATTGACACTGACAGAAAAACAAACCTGTGCTTCTGGTCATGAATGCCACTCCGACAGAAAATGTGAGACCTTCAGAAGTGGCAGCATTTGGGGTTTCGCATCTTGAAGTTGTCAAGCAAAAAGCCGAAGTTGTATTTGGCCAGTCCAACTCCCCTGGCCAATCTCTCGCCACTTCCTCCTCACCCCACTCAGCTTCATGCTGAGCGTGCTAACAGCTCAGGGCTCTCTTTGTGCAGTGCAGAGTCCAACTAGATATCATGTCAACACACACATGTGACATGAATTAAAACAATCTGTCTGTGTCAGATTAAACCAGCAATGTGCTTCTCATAATGAAATGTTAGAAATTTCACAGAAAATGCATCATGGGACTGGCTTGTTTGCTGAGGTCCAACTCATCATCCAAACATGTAAGATTTTCATATTGAATTCTGAACTTGAATGTAGCCGTTTAGCATTCATTCCCACATTGGCCCGATTGATTAATCTAGACCATGTATACTCGGAATGGGCAGGCTACGAGATGAACCCTTCCATGCTCTGTCCTGGCTCAAGGAATGTTTGCAAGGCAGTCTGTGAGACTGGAATGGACTTCCAGCTCTGGATCCATCTGACTTATATTAGGTCCAAAGCTGAAATACCAACAGTCTTCCCCTTGTGTGCAATAGAGAGAGATCAAGACTGTAAAAGCTTGCTGACTATGTCTGTCACAAAACAAGGAGTGGACCTGTTACAACTCATAGAACGGAGTGTGTTTCATTATTTGATAGCATGTCGTGTCTATTAGCTAAATGGTATGTACGGTGTTTGGCTTTAAATGCATTTTTTGGAAAATTCAACCAAAATATTATTTGTTGGAATAAGTACCGTGTCCAGAGCATAAGGTCATTCTTCTTGCAACATGAAAACTGCAAAAGTGATTGTTCAAGGACGTAGGTTTGAGGAGTCCAGAAATACAGCGTCACTGATCCAGAATAGGGCTCAGGCATTTAACGGAATTCTCTCCCCTCAAAAGGTTTGTGATTATTTGGAATTCTCTACACAGAGAGGCTGTGTTTGCCGAATCACTGGGCATATTCAAGACCAGGGCAGAAAAACAGGAGGCTGGAAGAACACAGCAAGCCAGGCAGCATCTTAAGGAAAGGAGCAGTCAATGTTTCGAGTATTGGCCTTCTCCAAGACTGGATGTGGGGGTAGTGGGAGCTGCAGATAAAGGGGGCAGGAGGGGCGGAGGTGGAATTGGATTGATAGGTGGACACTGGTGGTAGATAATACTTGATTGGTAAATGGGAGGGATGAATGCAGTTGGTGGCTGGAAGGGAGGGTCAGAAGATGGAATGGAAGGGAGGAGGTGGGGCTGGAACGGGAACCAGGGGATGGGTGGAAAAGTTATTTGAAATTGGAGAACACAATGTTGAAGCCTCCAGGCTGTAGGGTGTCCAGGCGGAAGATAAGGTGTCGGTCTTCAAATTTGTGTTCTGAGCCACTACAGCACTGGAGGAGGCAGAGAACGGACATGTCAGAGGGGGAGTGGGCCGGGGAGTTGAAATGGGCAGTGACGGGGAGGTTAAATTGGCTGTTATGGGCCAGGCGAAGATGCTTAGCGAAATGGTCACCTAGTCTATGTTTGGCTTCTAGCCTCCTGTTCGTTACCTTGGATACCAGCATCTGCAGCTTTTTTGTCTTTAACCATATTCAAGACCAGGATAGATGGATTTTTTGGATCCTATGAGATTTAAGGGATATTAAGGATAGTGCTGGAATCGGAAGTTAAGGTTGAAGATGAGCCATGACTTTATTGAATGGCTGAGCAAGCTCAAAAAGCCGTTCCTATTTCTCATGCTGATTAAATTGAAATATATCGTACAGAGTAAACGTATGCTGGATATTAATCAAGTAATAGTTTGAAATGTGCAGTGCTTTCTCGGAATACTTCTGAACTGTCTCCCCTAGTGAGGATCCTGAATTGTACAGTGAAGTTAGATGGACATTTTAAATTGGATCTTGTTAATGCTTCTGTATCCCTGCGGAAGAAATAAGAACGTGTTCAAAAATCTTTCACTTACAACTTCCTAAAACAGTATCCTCATATTATAACTAGCCCACAATCGAGAAGTAAAGAATTGCCTTTCTTGAGGAGCATCAATAGTGATGCTGTTGACCTAGCCTTTAGGAGGTGTACAAACACCACTTGCTCCCATGTCTCCTTGCTGCCTGCCCGACCATCACCCACTCCCACCACCGCCCACCAAACCACTCTGAAAATCATTGTTTAAAAAGGACTGACGGGATGCAGCAATGAATCCCTGTATTTAGCCTGCTCTGGGCTAAGACTCAGAAACACTGGATCTAATAAGCCATTGCGACCCATGACAGTTTGATGGGCTAATCACTTATCTGACACACTTTGATTCCTGCAGTGGCTCCTGATAACCTGCCACCAATGCTCCAACTGCTGTGCTAAACATATCATAAAAACATAATTCCACATCACCAGACAGCACCGTGCAGACTAACGCAGCTCAGTACACCAACGCAGAATTAGAAAACAAACAGGCAGCAATCTTCCATAATTAGATTTTGTAAATTTCAAACCTAATGAAAATTGTGCACATAAAAATGGAATGGATGTGGAATCCATGAAGAAAAAAATCAATATGTCTTTGAAGAGAAATCTTTTAGACACAGGATGACGTAACTCACGAGAGCCTTATTAATTAGTCCGGCCTTGTTCGACGGTTTCATTTCTTGCAATCCATTGATTCCCTTTTGTGTGTGATGTTTATTTGATTGGTGACACAACTGGTATCATAAAATACTTATCAAATATTTTCTTTTGTGAACGTTTGTCCAGGGAAGGGAAGACGATTGAAACAAGCAAAGGACGAGGCACAAGCTGAGATAGATCAATATCGTCTGCAAAGGGAGAGGGAGTTCAGACAAAAGCAAGACTCTGTACGTATCAATGCAAACAAGTAGACTTGATTTAATTGCTGCTTGCTTTGTAAAACTGAGTTGAATAAACCATATTGTTAGAATCAATGGTCACAACTCAGAAGTCCTTGCACGCTGAGATTTAATCCATATCTGGTCAGTCATTACGCAAATATGAGTTTTTTTGGAGTTATCCTCAGTATCACAAATGGAGATATGAATAAATTTCACCGCTGGTGATAAATCAGAGCTCGTTTTGTTTTATGTCATGATTTTATATTTTGGAATCATAAGAATTCCCAAAGTATCAGATGGCACCATTGAATAATGTGTTTTCAATGCAGGCTTTGTGAGTTGTGCTCACTACCACCTCACAGTGCTAATCCCGTTGGGACATGGAAAATCAGTGTGCAGGGAGTTATTCTACATGGGGACTATAGGCAATCATGTCACACTAAATGCATCCCTGGTCCCTGGTGTGTGCGTGTGCAGGCTCGCGCGTGTGTGTGTGAATAAGATTTTTTAGTATTAAACCTTCCTCTCAGTTGAGGCATTTTTAACCATTAGATGGAGCCCATTCATTACCATCTAGAGCATAGAATGTTTCAAATTGATGGCATCTTCAGTTTCCAGTTCCTTCTGCAAGAATCAAGACTGCCATTTCCCCAGGGCCCATCTTGGTGCCACTGGCCCTTTAAAGGGACAGCGGCAGTTTATGATGGACACAGTCAAGTCCCTGCAGGGTTTGCTATGCTAGTCCTGGAGTTCTGGCAGGAATCCAGCAGGATATTCCGTGATAACATGGATGTTTAAAAAAAAAGCCTTAGAAAAGACACAACGTTATCATCCATTGAGTAAAAGCTCTGCATGAGATGGTGCAAGATCAGACTGAGCAGCAAGAACACAACACTGATATTTTGACCAAGGTGATATAAGCCAATCTATCCAAAGCTGTGGTAGATATGCTGCAACAGGACTTCCTGCTGGATGCACAAGTAGGGATGTCAATTGAAGTTTCCTCTATTTGACTGCACATATGTCAAAGTAAATATGGACAGACACATGAGGACAGGATCAGGCTTCCCCACCACCCCTCAAGAGAGTTTCACTTGGCCAATAATACACTGCCAATTGGTGTTCAGCCACAAACATAAAGCAGGCCATCTTTAAGGTACTTTAGATCCTTGTGTATTCAGTAGATGAGCTAGGGAAGGGAAAAAGTTAGAGGGAAAAGAAAACTGGAATCTTAAATGTGTACACTGTAAACATCATAATTTCACAAATTGTTTCCAAAATGTTTCAAGTGGAAAAATCCAGTGACGTGGCCTTCTGTTTACAGTAAACATGCCTCTGTTTTATCTTAGATCATGGGATCTCAAGGTAACCTTTTAGTCAAAGTGGATGAACAAACCAGAGCAAAAATCAATGGGCTCATAAACAACCATGAACGGAACAGTGAGAAGGTTCTGCAGGACCTCTTGGGGATCGTGTGTGAAATCAAACCAGAAATCCATATTAATTTTAGAGAGGCAGGCTCCCATTGATGGGATAGTCAGTGGTGAATTAAGCTTTATCAAACTATAAATGTGATATCATTGAAGTTAATTGACGTTGCATAATGTGCATTTTTCATGGAAGCAGTGTTGACACCTTTTATTTTGGACTAATCACCTTGGGTTGTTTTCCTACAATATGAATGCACATGGTTGTTGTTGATGGTTCCTACTTTCACCCCTGTATCTGCAGTTAGTCTCAAGAGAGTCTGTCAGTCTAGCCCCCAGATATCTCAGCTATCTATCTAACGTTCTTTACAAAAAGCACTGTAGGACAAAATGACCATCCAGCCCCTTGAGACAGTTGGACCACTCAATTAGATAATGGCATCTAAATCCAGAAGTTGGTGTGGAAAGAATTCTGCTACTGTCAAACTTATTTATCTTTGGTCTGATCTGAGGGAACTTTACAAATAGCAGAAAAAGTCAGAAAGGGAAAGTTTGTCCTACATCATTTCCAACTCTGGTGGAATGAATTAAAATTATCAGCTTAATTAATCACTCACAATTCTTCACCTATAAACCAAATTCAGTAAACAGTTAAGCCAGGTATGACTAATTTGTTAGTTATCATTCTCATATATTCCAATGTACACAAATTATCAAAAAAAACTGTCTCAATCTTGAGCCTAATGATTGTGGCCCATATTGACATCCAATCAATTGTCAGCTTTGAATTTTTTTTCGGTTTGTTTTCCAAAATTTCAATTTGATTCTCTTCAGTTGTTTGTATGTGGGAATGTAGCCAGGTTCAGTTCCCAGAATTTGTGTTACCCTCTTACACTTAGAACCATACTTCCAATGAGCGACAGATTGTACATTTTCTGTGCTCTGCATGATCACAGTTTGACACTTTTGACATCAGTGCAACTGGGCCAGGTTTTTGGTGCTGTCTTGTTATCAACCAATGGATTTTCTTTTCAGGGAAGTCACTATAACCCAGACCTTTTAAAGCTTGTATCATACTTCAGCAATTAATTTGTGGCACTTCTTTTGGCCTTTCTCTAAAATAGTTGAACTTTCTCACATACGGAATTTGAGAGACCCGTGCCTCCTGATTTGTCTATGCCACCAGCCTAAAACTGGGGATGGTGGCTGAGTGGTTGAGCAAGTCTGTCCCTGGGAGAAGGGGGCAGGTTTCACAGTTTACTTGGCTTGAGTCAGTTCATAGGCAGCAGTTTCTCATATACATGCTAAAGCAGTGCCAGATTAAAGCAGTTTATACCTTGCCTGGCCCATTTTGGAAGACTCAGGTTTACAGTCACCAGTTGCCCTGGTGACATCCTCTCAATGGCCCAGAGACGCAATCAGCAGTGGCTGGTTTTAATATGCTTGCATTTCACCCTCTCAGATGACATTTATTTCCTTAGTACAGGGGAAAAGCTCCGCTTTGATGTGAACAGGACACAAATAGCCCATCTGCATCGAGCACTCATGATTTACATATTAATTAGTTATTATATGAAACAAGGGATGGACTGAGATACTCAGGTACTTGAGAACTGGGGTTATGCTTTCCAGCTTATTTTCTGTCCTTTTATTTAAATATCAGAAACACAAATGCAAATAGCTGCAAAAATAGCAAAGTGAAAGCCTTTGAGAATACAGCCCTCAGTGTAGCAGGTAATCAATTTAAACTGTTTGATATATTCAGATAGGCTGTTGTAATGAGTTCTTTTTTTTGTGGTACTTGGAGTCAATGTTTAAAAATGGGATACGAATCAAAATGTCACAGCAGCAACTCATTTGTGTGTTTTAGTTTCATTCCCTTAATAACCCAACATAAAAGATGCACAAGCCTTTATCGAGGAGATGGGAATCATATCATTTCTGTGGTTTATCTCTTAGAGGAACAAAGTAGTAATTTGTGACCTTCCACTGGATCGCAGTGATAATTAATGAAAATGTGTGAATTAAGTTATTTTAACAGTCTGTTAATGTTCACATTGAGCAGTAAATTACCTTGAAACGCTTCCCAAATGCTAGTTTGTTTCTGTCAGGCAAAGGTGTATTTTGAAATCCAATTGTTCTCATTTCTGCGAAGGTAATTATGCTTATTTTTGTGCACAAATCCCCAAATGACATGACTGAAGTTCAACTTCACAATAAAAAAATTGAGAACAAGATTATTTATGCTGCTTTCCTCTTTCGTGAAACTTGATTGTGCAAGCCCCACATCATCAAATTTGATGCCACCAGTTCAAAAACACCTCAGTATGGTGTTAGCACAGTGTTACAGACCTGCAACTAGGGTTGCCTGGCCTCACCTGTCAGCACCTGCACCTCTGTTTTAGAAAGCAGTGGATCAAAGTCCCACTTCAGGATTTCAGTACAAAATCAAGGCTATACTGAAGAAATAATCCAGATCCTGAGGTGTTATCCTTCAGAAATGTTGTCAAATCAAGGGCCTAGTCTAACCTGCTCTGCACTTTAGTCGGACATTAAGGACCTTTTTGAAGATGAGCAAACAGCTTTGCTGGTGTATTGGCCAACACTCCTCCATCTACCTTCATTACCAGAAGCAGATCAATCTGGCTAATCATCAAACCGTAAACAGTGAGGTTTAGTTCCATGCCAAATGTTGGCGCTTTTGGCTACATAACAGTAGTCACTGCACTTCAGAGAACCACTGAAAGTCATGGCTTGAGCCAACGGTTAAATTGTGCAGTGAAAGGGAAGCAGTCGGCATGGAGGCAGTTAGGTTTTCTAAATATTTCTGACTGCTTTTACCACAGCCGCAGCTTATGGTGGCACGAAAGCAGAGTCAGAAGTTGCATCTGCTGCCTCCAATTTTTGGGAACATACTAGTAAGCTACGATTAGTTGACGACAGACTTTCTTTGCCTTTCTGTTAATTGGAGTGCCAAACAGAAGCTGAACCGTGCATTCATTTGGCTCCTGTTAGCTACTATGAATGAAATATAATGCTGCGCTTTTGATGTTGGAATTATCTCAGTGCCTGCAATTGTCTGACATTTATTCATTTGAATCATTCAAATTCTAAGTTCCAAAGTTTTATAAGCACAAAGGAATATCATTTCACGGACAGGTTTTGTGAAGAAATAGAAGTGAGGTGAGTTGGTATAGTGCAGTATAATAAACCTGGGATTTGCTGTTGACAATGGTTTACTGTTCTGAAAACAACAAATGCTGGAGATCACAGCGGGTCAGACAACATTCATGGACTGGGAGCGAGGTAATGTTTCGAGTCTACATGACTCTTCATCGGAGCTGAAGTGAAGTGTGGAGGGATCTGTGGCGGTGGTAGGTGTAGAGTGCTGGTAGAGAAAAGATGTTGATAGTTCAATGATTATAACATGAGATTGGCAGAACAATGTTTTATCTAACTGACTGTCCTGAAAGAGAAGACAGTCCCACTGTGCTAGGGTAGGGGAGAGAGGACCGGGTGACAGAGAATGTAACAAGTAAAGCTAAAAGCAAGGGAAGAAATGGGAGTTAGTTCACAATTTGAAAGTATTGAACTTAATATTAGTTCAGAAGGCTGTAAAGTGACTCCCCCCACAACTATAGCATAAATGCTGCTCCCCTCCACACTTCACTTCAGCTCTGATGAAGAGTCATGTAGACTCAAAACATTAGCTTGCTCTCTCTCCATGGATCCTGTCTGACCCTTTGTGACCTCCAGCATTTGTGTGGAGCTGAAGGAACACAGCAGGCTGGGCAGCATCAGACAAGGAAGAGAGTTGACGTTTCGAGTCAAGGCCCTTCTTCAGAAAAGTGTCCCGACCCGAAACATCAACTTTCCTGCTCCTCTGATTCTGCCTGGCCTGCTGTGTTCCTCCAGCTCCACACTGTGTTGCCTCTGACTCCAGCATCTGCAGTTCTTGCTATCTCTGATCTCCAGCATTTGTTGTTTTTTGGAAAGATGCCAGCATCTGCACTAATTTGCTCCTACAATGGTTTTCTGTTTCTGTACAGAGTCAATGGCATCAGTTTTCAGTCAGGACACCTCTGTATCAACTTGATCGAAGTCAGCTTCCGAACTGTTTTCTTACGTTAGCTCTGTACATTTCATACACTGGAAAAGCATTTCGTTGGCTGTCAAATGTTTCAAAATGTCCTGAGGCTGTATGGGTACTGGAAAAAAAGATTGAAAGTTGATTTTTTTCTTTCTCCTCATTTTCAGAACCATTATAAGATCCATACTGTCAGCTTTTCACAGATATCCAGTTGAACCAGGAGTGGAAAAATCCTCCAAATTATCTTAACCAATAACATTCTATCCAGAGAAACTAATATTGAGAAAGAAAATAGAAAGTAACTGAGCGGTCATAATGGAACTGCTTTAATTGCTCAGGTGATGGATGCTATACAATGGCTGAGGCAAACCGATCAAAAAGGTTTCAAGCTGACCAGTTGTTGGTGTTGCCTTCTGATCTTAGTCAAGACAGCTGGAGGAGTTCTACTCCTATCCAACGGAGATAAAATATGACTAAGGTCTTTGCTTTGGGTAACTAAACAGTCATCTCTGCTTGAGGTTGGTGTTTGCACAGTGGGCATGGGCTGTTCTCAACTCCACTGTGATAGCTCACCTTGCCAAAACAACCTGTCATCATCCTCTATCAGGTCTCATGCAGTAAGATCTGGACAAGGTAATGGAGGGCAGTTGGTGCCACTAGAACTATGTCCAGTAAACAGGTTAATATGAAGCAGAGCACTGTGGATGCTGAAGATCTGAAACAAAAACAGAAATTGTCACCTTCTGAAGAAGGGGCACTGGATTCAAAACGTTAACACTGCTTTCTCTTCACAGATTCTGTCCGAACTGCTCCAGCAATTTCTGTTCCAATCAGTAGGCACTATATTCAGCAGGGAGAGAGGGGGCAAAACCACAAGAGTCTTTTTATTAAGAAAAGCAGCCATTTAGTACTAATCTAATTAATTGACAAATTTACAGAGATAACATTTAATGCACATGCACCATTTCCATACAAGTTATACTGATTCTATTTGCACAACACACAGATCCTGCTAAGTAATTATGGACAGTTTTACACAGCAGAGTATAAAACTATGTGACCACACATTGAGATGGCACTACAAGAAATATTCATTCATCTTGTGGAATTAGTTTTGCAATCACCGCATGAGACAGGTAGAATGTGTCGTGTCAACACCAGGACAGCATAGTTGAGCCAAGTGGCCTTTTTTTTTTGTTTTGTATACCATATCTAAGCTATCAATCAGCAATGCCACAGGTAAGTTGATGCCATTCCTCTTGCTGTTCCGAACAATCTACCATAACCCTGAGACAGGGTCTACTGGTACTCAACACGATTGTTCCTTTTCCACCCTCTTCCCCTCTCCAGCAGCTTCCCGGAGTGAATGTGACCAATTAGTTTATTGAGAAATGGAAATGCCACCCACTGTGTTGTTTCCCGGTCCCTGGACATTCTCTGTAAACACTAGTCAAGCATTTTTCAATGTTGATGGCTCAGAATTCATACAGACATCTTCAGCATCAAACCATGAATAGCGCCTGTTAGATATGTAGATTTTCTTTGCTGGAAATGTTCCATCAAACTAAAACAAATCAGAAACACCACAGTGGTGCCTCATTATGAACACGGCGTGATATGCATCAGCTCTATTATGGCACACATTACAGAAAGCATTCAAAAGCAAAATAAAATCCCATCAAGTATTTCAGGGGAAACGTCACACAAATGTTCTTTCTGTGGATCTTAAAGACAGTGAAAAGGCAGATTGAGCACGAAACCGCGTAAATTTAAAATAATTGATACGCAACAAAGGTATCCCAGGTAGTGTGGGCTGGACAGATATGTTTGCACTGTATCATGTGAATCTGATTGTCAACAAATAAGATAACAGTTTGTTACAAGCAAATTATTCAACCAACTTCCATATCCCTATTAAAGTGAGTATAATTTTTAAACTTAGAGCAGGTTAACACAGAACAAAATCAGATGAGGTGTGAAATAGATAACTAATACACCGTCAGTCAGTTTGCCACTATACTCGTTAGGTTAAATTTACTCCCAAGCACAACTGACAATAAGAGTTGTTGCTACTATAATAAAGGGAATCACCACTTTTTCTTATTTCTTTTATATTTCTCTGTAAAAGTATAGCCCCACCGACCCAAATTCTACACACACCTTTAGACTTTGGAGCCAGGATATTCAGGACTGTAGACTGTATCTGAATGCACTGTCAATAATATTTCATGGGGCAAATGGCAAATTGTTGGAAACTGAGGTGAATTTGTTTCTGCAACGGAAGTACCACACAGTCAAGAGCTATCCATCTATTAATTAGAACACTTCCCAAAGTGTACTGAGATACATTTAAATAGCAGGCATTGTGGAAACTTCCTTGCTTAGGAAGTTGCTTGCCTTAACTCTTCATTCACCTTTCAAAACTTGAGCAACATGTTTTTTCCCCTGTTTGCTTCCTTGCAGAAAATCATCTGCTCCAAACGAGATATTTGGGGCCCTTATTTGTGACGAAAATTAAAGATGTAGCTTTGAAAGTGCTTGTATCCCTTGGATAAGCAGGATTGCAATAAGATGGAATAATAAAGGTATCCTGCCTTGTTATTACGAGCAGGGAACAGTCTCCTGTAACCTCACAGGTGAAGACTGTCTCCTCACCTATTGGTAATAAAAAGCACTGGGACTGACGGTGCCACAATGAGGTCTGTTGTTAAGCAAGTGATGTAATGATAGGCCAGTCCTTACTGGTAAGTTAATTATAATTGGCTAAGTTAATGATGCCTTTAGGCTCCCTTTATAATTTACTGTAGGTGCTACATGTGCACTGAACAAGCACATCATCAATTCAACATAGAAGCTATTGTAGTTTGATTGCTTTAAACATCAGATTGTCTGCAACTGGATGTTTACTCCTTTTATTCCTCTGCCAAGTTCAGTCCGTCTCAGTGCAATATTACTGTTGTTAAAAATGCGCTAGGAACACGCACGAGGGCCGGGGAGGTAGGGAGGCATTGTGAAAATTCTTTCAGGCCTCCCTCGTTAAAGTGCACTGGCTGCCTCAGAAAGACAGGGCATTGCAATGAGGGTACTCACAGGCTGAACCACATCA